CTATTAATAGGGTTTTTTTAAATTTAGATTGTTTATTTTTCATTTCAATGAACATCTACAGAGATTTTGGGATTCCATTCATTCATTGTTGCACCCTTCTCCCCGCACAAACCCCTCTCCCCTCCCCCCCCCATTTGCTCCTCTCCTTGAAAAGCAAAAGAAAAACTCCCTCATTGGTTCTCCCATTGTTAAGTCCCATATGTTTCATTCTCTCCTTCTTTTTCAAATTACATAGCCCTATAGACACCCAGAAAGATGTTCACAAAAATGTTTAAGACTAACTTCTGTCTCCATAGCTCTGGGCTCTGATCCTCACATCCATATGGAAGTTCAAGGGAGTGGTGAGATCCGACTGGAATGCTCCTCAGTTGGATGGTACCCAGAGCCCCAGGTGCAGTGGAGAACGCCCAAGGGAGAAAAATTTCCATCCACATCAGAATCCAGCCATCCTGATGAGGAAGGCCTGTTTACTGTGGAAGCATCACTGATTATCAGAGACAATTCCTTGGAGAATGTGTCCTGCAGCATCCAGAACCCCCTTCTTGGCCAGGAGAAGGAAGTAGGAATTTCTATACCAGGTTAGTGGAATTAATGCTGGATTTCTATATTGACATGGTTTCAGGGTCATACCACCTGGCCCACCAGCCCAGCCATGACCTTATAGACAGAACTGTTCACTTTCTTGACTTTTATTCCTACCTACCAGTTTGAGGAAGCCCACCAGCTTCACTAGAGTAGTAAAGTATCTATTACCTAGATCTCTATAGAGATTACATAGAAATCCCAGATTTTCCATTTTTGGAGATAAATCTTAGATAGAGAAACCTTATTACTGGGGGCCTTTCTAATCTAGAGTCTTCTCTCTTTGAATGAAAGAGAAGTCTAAAATAACTTTTCTATTTTTACTCTTTCCACTCTTGAATTCTCCTTGCCAGTTTTCTGAGGGACTCAGAGAAGCAAATACTCTTGTTTCTGCATCAACTACCAACTCTGGTGCAGGCAAAAACTATGCCTTACTCTTTAGTAATTATTTCATTTACATTATGTTAGATATAGAGAGCCTCATGGTATAGTGAGTTAAGAATTGAGCAGCAAAACAACAGGTCAACAGTTTGAACCCATTAACCACTCTGCAAGAGAAAGGTGTGGTAGTTTCCTTTTGTTAAGACTTACAACCTCAGAAACTTGATAAAGGGTCACCATGAGTCCATAGCAATGCGAGGGCATATTACACAGAGAAGCATCATTTGTTTTTCTGATTTACTTTCCTTAATTCCCTTGGTTCCCACCTTGCTTTGATAGTTAAGGAGGAATTCTCAAAATAGCATGAATAGATCAGTTACCTTCTTTATTTCACAGACCCTGTCCCATACTAATTCATGTACATTTTTATTCCTTTATTTGCCTTCTCTCTTCTACCCAACGGAAAAATCTTTCTGACAATCAGAGTGGCATTTTAGTCACTATTTTTGCCATGATAGACTTAGGAGAAGCCCAGGCCATTCCTTCTATTAATTCATTTTGGAATCAGGAGGGAAGCTGAGCTTGCTCAGAGTTTCTAAACAAGTGTCCTTTTTTGGGAATTTTGTTTTAGCTCCTTTCTTTCTGAGGCTGACTTCCTGGATGGTAGCTGTGGCTGTAATTGTGATACTCCTAGGACTTCTCACCATTGGGTCCATAGTTTTCACTTGGAGATTATACAGGGAAAGATCCAGAGAGAGGAGAAATGAATTCAGCTCCAAAGGTAAGTCACAGGCTCCCAGGGTATTGGTCAGGCTTTATCCATAGTGCTCTCTCCAGCCAAAGGTCTGATAAGGCATTCTGAGTCTGTTAATATTTACAGCCTTCGAAACCCTATAAGGTTACCATGACTTGAAATGGATTCTATAGCAGAAGGTAAATATGTTATCCCAAAGGGTTAGATCAAAGTCCTTTACAATGAATTCCAACAGGAAAATACTGGATTCTAGATTAAAAGCTGAAAGAAACTTAGGAATCACAAATATTTAATATGATGAAGAATGAGGTTTTGAGACACAGAGTCAGAACCAACTCTAAATGAGATAGTCAATCTGATAATTCTTTACTACTCAGCCCCTCAGTCCATATTCCCACTTTCAATTCAAATTTCTGTTAGCCACTTCTTTTTTTCCCCCACTTTTAAAATTTATTTTTATTTTCTATTGGTTTGCACACAAAATTCATATACAGTGTATTCCTCACAGTATGGGAATTTTAAATACTTTTTAAAATGGATTTGCTTACAAAATTTATATACCTTGTGTTACACACTATTCTTCACTGACATTGTGTTTCATACAATCATTCTCATACTTTATGTTTTATAAACATTGGACCTTGACCATCATTACCCTGTCTTATAGCCTGGATCCTTCCCATTTGCTTCCCCCACTCCCTCTACCCAGAAAACTGTGCTGCCCTGTGGTTTCACCCCTATCCATCCTCACCCCTTCACCCTTCCCTCCCCCTCCTTGAGTTCCTGTTTATTTTAGCCACTTCTTATTAAAGATCTGCTCTTAAGTCAAATCTCTAATAAGATCTTATTAGGAACTTCCTGCATATTTCTTAGAAAACTAAACAAATAAACCTTTGTTCTTATTGACAACATTTGAGTACTTGGGCATTCATAAATGAAACAGCTATTCCTTTGTATGTTTCCCACAAAGTTTTACCCCCTCCCTCATATTCTCCGTAGGACACTGAGATATTTCTGTTTGTTTTCCAGAGAAACTCCTGGAAGAACTCAGTAAGTTCTGCCTCCTTGTCATTGTTTCATCCAAAGGTTTTCTCTCTCTTATCTATAACCTGCCATTGACGCTCTCTCTCTCTTCCATTGCAGAATGGAAAAAGGCTACATTGCATGCAGGTCAGTGGCTTTGAACTTCTCCAGGGCTTTGAGACCCTTTGTTAGGGGATTCAAAATCACATGATTATTGGAAATGAAAACACAACACTAGCACCATTTTAGCGATGAAGCTAGAGAAGGAAAAGGTGATAACCAATGGCCTCAACACTCTCCTCAATAGCCAGAGCACTACCCTCACAGAGAGGGTTCCATCTAGTACCAAGAACTGTCAGCTCCCACATCATCCTGTAAGCGTTCGGGGAAAGGAGACTGGAGACGGTAGAGAGAGTTGAACAAGCCAAACAGCTCCTAAAGTAGTGTTCTATTTCTTTGAAGAAAGAGGGATAGGTCCCACTACCTCTAACATTCACTGAACTGACCTTTGGATTCCTCTCTCTCTAGTTGATGTGACTCTGGATCCAGACACAGCCCATCCCCATCTCTTTCTGTATGAAGATTCCAAATCTGTTCGACTGGAAGATTCACGGCAGAAACTGCCTGAAAATCCAGAACGATTTGATTCCTGGCCCTGTGTGTTGGGTCGTGAGGTCTTCACCTCAGGAAGACATTACTGGGAGGTGGAGGTGGGAGACAGGACTGACTGGGCTATTGGAGTGTGTCGGGAGAATGTAATGAAGAAAGGGTTTGACCCCATGACTCCTGAGAATGGATTCTGGGCTGTGGAGTTGTATGGAAATGGATATTGGGCTCTCACCCCTCTCAGGACCCCTCTCCCATTGGCAGGAGCCCCCCGCCGGGTTGGAATTTTCCTGGACTATGAAGCAGGAGATACCTCCTTTTACAATATGTCTGATGGGTCCCTCATCTATACTTTCCCTAAGGTCTCTTTCTCTGGCCCCCTCCGGCCATTCTTTTGCCTATGGTCCTGTGGTAAGAAGCCCTTGACCATTTGCCCAATCACTAATGGGTCTGAAGCAGTCACTGTAGTTTCTGAAACTGGGGAACTTTCTAAGGACATTCCACTGTCCCCCATGGGAGAAGAATCTGCCTCTGGTGACACAGACACCCTGCATTCTAAACTGATCCCTTCCCAACCCAGCCAAGGGGCACCTTAAGGGTTATACTGACCCACTTGCTTTCTTTTCCAACCTTTCTGTCTCACCACCCTTGCGGCTTCAACTGTCAACTTCTCTCAGCCCTTGTGTCTTCCTGTTAGGCAGAGATAAATTAAGTTTGGGAAGGTTGTGCTGCTATAGCTGCTGCTAGAGAGGGTGGAGTATAAGATATTTCTAATCTGTGTCTGTACCAATATTTGAAAGTGAGGTAGGGGATTGACTCTTAAACTCCTTCCAGTGTTATCTGTCAAGGCCAGATCCTACATGGTGAGATTTGGAACAGACAGTTCAGAAATTGAAATAGGGTCAGGTTGACATATGTTTATAGCAGAAACATCTTGGTATTGAGCATAGCGCAAGTAGACAAGTGTAAAATCCAAAGGGAAGGAGAGATACCAGGCTGAAATTCCACAAAGGAACTTGCAGGAACACCAGAGTAGATCAGAGAATGAGGGAAACATCAAAATAATAATGCAATCTTAAGTTTAGGGGGACTACATCTCAAATTTTTCATGCCATGTCTGGCAGGGATGGAGGAGAAAGGCCTGCCAGCTCTAGGCAACAGGGTAGATGGAATAGAGAATAGATGAGATGAGTGGAGCTGGAGCAAAAGTGTGCTAGAGGAGAACATTTTGGACCAAACTCGAAGTTGTCTGCATTGTTTTTCCTCAAATCTTCTTTCCTCTCTGCCTCTGCCTGGGCAACAATTTATTCTCAATTTGTTAGCTTCATGCATTTGCCCATTCTCTTCCTACTGATCTAGTATTTCTAAGCAATTTCCAGGAATCATCCTCTGTATTGCCCCTTTATCAGCCAGTGTCAGCCTCCTGCCCACTCAGCCTTCATCCAACAACCAAACTCTTCAAATATCTTGTTAGTTAGATTCAACTTCCATCCATTTCCACGTGGTACCACAGTCTATTCTTTCTCCATTTACTCATGTTTCCTATAGTCTATTTCTCCACATGCTCCGAATGCTACATAATTTTCTCATATATATGCAACTAGAAATGTGATTGCATCTATTCATATTTGTCCTTGCCTATTTTCCTGCATTTGTCCCACCAAATGAAAATTTATCCATGTTCACACTTTCCATTTTCATTGTCATTTTTCCATTTGCCAAATCTTCCAGTCTTTACCTAATAAATAATTCCATCTGATTGTTGAAAGCAGCCTCTGTATCTTCTTTTCTTTACCCTAACAAGTACTGAAACAAAACCAGAAAATAAACCTATGAGTATGAGAATGCAGTTGACAAAAGCAGCACCATTTTCTCTAGTATAAGACCTATCCCAGGCTCGATGACAGGCAAACACAGACTATGAGGGCCCACTACTTATAAAAAGTAAGCCACAATGCCAATGGCTATCCTTAGCCTCTGTTTGAGTGGTGACTCCATTTCTACCACCAGTAAAGTGACTGACACCTAATGGGGTCCTGCCTCACTATATCAAGCAGTTTCATCGAGAGAAGGGACGAGGATTAAATGAAGAGGCAGAGAGGCTACTCCTGATGGCGAATAGCAAACTTTATTATAGAACTCTTGTCTTATATTCTTTTTGCAGTGAACAGAAAAACAACTTAGCTTCAAGGCCAACAATGCATTTGTTTTGACTTATTAGTCATCTGCTAGCAAGGCTTCCAATTAGCAAGCAAGGCCATCAGAACAGAATCTTTAGGTAAGGACGTACCATTCTGCACATCCTTGCTTGGCCTTGGGGTTCAAGGAATGGTTAAACTTGGTTTTGCTCCCCTTCAAACGTCTGCACATTTGAACCTGGTATATAATGGCTACTTGCTTAAAATTGCTGCAGTATGGCTTACTTTTTAACACCCTGCTTCCTTGAGTTGTTTTCTATCAAGCAGATACTATAGCCAAGATAGAATTAGTCTTGATGGTCTTTTGATACAGGGCTAATCTTGCCTTACAAGTTAGCCAGGCCTCAACAGACACCTAGTATAGGTAAGTGAAGCCAGCCCTTCAAATTAACTATACGCTTTCCAGAAGAAGGGATCTCCCTCTGATGACATAGTCCATAGAGAGCTATACTGTTAGATGGAATACCACAAATCTCTGGTGGCTCAAATCCACCAGCTGCTCTAAAGGGGGAAATTAGACAATCTTCTGTTCAATTTGCAACCTCTAAAAACTCATGGGAGGGTCAGCTATATGAGTCAGTTCTGACTCATGGGCAAGGAGTTGTGTTGAGTTGACATGAATGAATTTGGCCTTACGTGCTTCCCAGGAGGAGAATGTATTTAGGATATCTTCAATATTGATATGGTTCATAATTAAAATCAAATTTTAAAACCTTGAGTTGGAAAATGTTGTCTCAGACAGAACCAAGGGGTCTGGTTGACCCCTACCTCTGATTCTATGAGAAGCCTATTGACCCTTTATTGCCTTAAACCAGGATTAAAAATAGTCCCTTCACTTGGGGTCTGCATTGAATGCAATTCAACTGACCCTGCTCCCAGTGACCAAAAAGTAAGAAAAACCATCTTCTAGATACATCTTCTGCTGAGAAATCATCACAATCAGACCTATTTTTCAAGCCACAAATTCTCTAAATCCCAAATTATGTCCACAATGAAATATTCAATATAGCTGTTATTACACCAAAAAGATTTATCTTTTTGGAACTAAATGACAACTCTACTAAATTTTCATTCTACCTGCTAGCTTTGTAGAGGATCACAACAAATTAAAACTAAATGTTTACCATTAGGGGGAAGTCTGAACACCAGACTTGTCTAATAACATCACATTCTTACTGCTTTAAAAGAAATATGATATTGTGGCAGGCAGCACATCGTCAAGGGCTCCATGGTGAAAGCCATCACAACATGGCCCACAGCAGCCTCACACTTGCTTACCCACCCAGACCTATGGAGCAACACCATCAATTCGCTATTGAAGTAGTGACTCTGCTGACAAAA